ATATTATTATCACTATACACAGTAAGCTGGAAAAGTGATGAAGGATGGAGTCTCCCTTTTTTTTTTATTATGATTCATTCCATGCCAACTCAACAAGGGGCTCCACGGTGACCATCTTAGATTATGCTGTAATTTTAACCAAATATACTTTAAGGAAAATTATGAAAAATCCCAAAGTTTCATTGAAAAACTCCCAAGCATTCCGAAGTTACAGCACTTTGAAATTTTGAAGACACACCCCTCCTTTGAGACTCACGAAGAGCAGCAATATTTTGTTAGGGTTTTTGAAAGACAATTTATTTTTATTTCTGGACATATATTCTAGAAAGCTGAAAATTATTAATCTGGCTCAGTTTAGCCCATACTTTCTGATTCTGGCATCAGCATCAAGCTCTGAATAGGTATTAACAAGTTATGAGCATCTCAAAATCAGTTTTATTTGGGCAACATTAATTATTTCAAGAATTTGACCTTACTGTAGGTTATGTGGTCAACTAATGACCGAGACCAAATATTTTAATGCCAATTAGTTATTTGGGATATAGAGTATAGCCAAACGCAAGATTATTCCAATCAAACATCAAATCACAGATTTATGACAATCCTAAAATTGCAGCAGCTCAAAAATTGACTCCTTACCCTAACTTTGAAGGGTCGAATAACTACATAGATTTCAATGGAAATGAAACTTAAACAACTGAAAGATGCATTTGGCTGATATGGTAAAAATATGTTTATCTCAACTCAACCCCTTCAATATAAACTCCCAATGTGAAAATGGTGTATTTTCTATGTCAGCAATTTCCGTTTTCAACCCCCCTAAACTGCATTTTAATTTGACAACAAAAGCTTGTGTGATCATTGACGACAGAAATTTGAATAAATTCAAGTTCAAAATATTCATACAAAAAAAAATTACACTGATAATTCTGGAATGATCTAGCAATGCAAAATTCTAACAAATAATAAAACAAAAAAATCACTATGAATTATAACCAGGGAACAGTTAAATTTCACTGTTCCCTGATTATAACACCTCATTATTTTAATCACTAACACAGATTCAATCTTAAACTCAGTATTCTTTATCTGACATATTTAATTATTTTCTTGTATTTATTTATTTATTTTAGGGTAAAAAACAGACTCGCATCAATGCAAGAGGGCAACCCTGTGAGCTTACAGATACAATAAACAGTTAAACAAGAAACATAAAATGAATGAATAAAATGTACGCTAAATAAGAAAAGCCAACATTGAATAAGTTTAGCAATAGTATTAAATCATTATCATAAGTATTACTATTAAATATACATATGACAACCTTTAACTTTACACACAGGCGCAATATTGGTCATATCAACATAATATCAATAAAAGCAGGGGTATAGCTATTCATTAGCTATAGCTCAAAAAACTTAAGCTAGCATTAGTAAAGCAATCAAATATCGAAATATATCACTATTATTGGCTATAGCAGATTACATCATAATTATGCTAATTATTGATATTGATATTAGTCTGATGTAGCGGGTTGTAGCAATTAATATCAACATTATAGCACTGATTTTTAATGATATAGCACTTTTACTGATAC